CGGGCACACGCGGGTCCTGTGTTAAAATAGGCACAGTGATCCCGAGCGTGGCAGACGCGGTTGGTGCGGGAGTTTCTGGGCTGTGCTGGTTTGTGCAGCGCGGGGCTCCGGGATTAAGGAGTAAATCCCCTCCTGACACCTGGGCTGTCGGCTCCAATTTTCTCCTTGCCAGGGAAGCCCTGCAAACACCTCACTGGGACCGTGCCAGCCCTTGGGTAGCTCAACCCCCCTTCCCTGTGCCAGAGGGAATAAACAGGATGAGCCTCTCCCAGGGCTGAGGACTCTCCCCAAGTTGTGCTGCGTCTCGTCCACCCACTGTCGCTGCTCCAGCTCTGCTGGGATCAAACCAGTAATCCCAACCGATCCTGCCCAGCGCATCCCATCCCCAGCCTGACCCTGCGCAGGTCCTGGGGAAACCTGTGGAGTCAGCACCTTCCTCCAGCCTAAATCCTTCCTTAAAACCTGCCAGGGTGCTGACGCCGGGGGGATGTTTTACACGAGCCTCCCCCTCTCTGGCTGCATCCTGCGCCCACCGTGCCCCCGGTGACCAAGCCCCGGGGCCAGCAGAGGACACCCGTGTCCCCAGGGCTGCCGGACGTGCCTGGCCCCCCCGTGGCTTGCTCGGTTTTCCGGCTGCTTTGCAGCTCGTTGGGGGGGGGGGGAAGTTTCCTAACTCTAAACTTTAACCTTTGTACCGCCGGCGCGCTCGGGGTGACCATCCTGGAGCTGTCCCTGCCTCCCAGACGAGGTGCTGGGGCTGGTCCAAACAAACCTGCCTCGCTGCTACCCCCTTCCCGGCGTGGGGAATGGCAGCAGCAGGAGCTCAGCCACCTCTGGGCAGCCCCAGCCCACAAATTCCCAGCGCAAACCACCCTGCTCCGTTGGGTCAGGGTTTTCTGTCTCATTTCAACACCCAAGGGCAGCTCCTGAGGTCCAGAGGAGCCTCCTCCAGCCCCACGGAAAGTGACCAGGGGGTGGTTTTCTCTTTCAGAGGATTTACTACCTCTCCCTGGAGTTTTACATGGGGCGGACGCTGCAGAACACCATGATTAACCTGGGGCTGCAGAACGCCTGTGATGAAGCTGTCTACCAGGTAAGGACCCAGACCAGGAGGGCTCCAGGCACTCCAGCTCCTGGGGGTATTCATGTCCTCAGGTCTTGCCCTCACAGATACAAACGTTGCTCCAGAACCTGCTCTCCAAAGCCCCAGGGCTGCTGGCTGCTGTTGGGCCATGCACTGTTGAGTTGGAGGGTCCAGCCCGTACACTGCAAGGATGCTCATGGTTGTGTGTTCAAGGTCATTAGGAGCTCTGATCAATGGCAGAAGGGATTAAATACTTGGTCTAAATCAACCCCAGCCTGGCATTGGCACCACCTGGCACTTGGGTTATCAAAGGTGGTGGGTTGGGTTATCAAAGGGTGGCTCCTTTTCCTCCTGCCCTGTGCTTGCACCTGTTGTGACTGGCTGAGGTGGCTGCACAACAGTGGGAGCAGCTTTCCAGCAAGCAAAGGAGAAGGATTTATTTTTAGGTTGGTTTGTTTGGTTTGTTTTTTTAGCAGGGGTTTCTGGGTTGGGTTTTTTTTGTGGCTTCTCCCTCTCTGGAAGTGTTGAAGGGCAGGTTGGATGGGGCTTGGAGCAGCCTGGGCTGGTGGGAGGTGTCCCTGCCCATGCAGGGGTGGGACTGGATGATCTATAAGGTCCCTTCCAACCCAAACCAGTCTGGGATTCTATTATTTAAATATTTTCTTTTATCTGTTGACCTTGACCTGAGGGCAGCTGGTCAGGAAGGGTGATGGGGGAGAGAAAGAGCCTGAGATGCTTTGTGTTGGGAGCCCAGAGATGCAGAAGGTGTGAGGTTGTTTGGAAATCATCCTTTTTGCACTGGTGGGTGAAACTCTGGAGGCAGATCCTCCTTACTGTGGGTGCTGAAGCCTCCCCAGACACAAATGCCAAACATTTCTAAAATAAAACGTCTGGCATATAAATCACTTCAGGTATTTCTGTGGGCATCAAGGGCTGATGGTGAAGCTCAGAACTCTCTAGTCTGTCACCATGAGACACCAGCAAGGCTGAGGGTGCTGCTGGTGCTCCTGGTGTTGTCTGTGACCGACTGATTTGGGAGAAGCTGCTGCCCAATTGCCCATGAGCTGTGCAGGGTCTGGCCCTCCCATGGGTGGGACTGGGGCTGTCCCTGCTTGATGTGACCGTGGGACATCCAGCCAAGGGTTTCTGTGGGAAAAGGTGGCTTGCCCA